AATGATTACGAGTCCATCCGTAAACAAAGTACTTCCAGCTCCTTTACTATGCATTTATTCACAGTTGCAAAATATAAATCTATATATATAAAAAAATGAATATTTGTCTTTTATACAAATCTACTGTTTAATTTCGATCTTTGTGAAACTTGCCACGCTCGACCTTCAAAGCAAGAGGAAGGTCACTGTTTATATATGATTTCTCAAATTCAGCTTTGCGTTGCCACTCAGCAAAGCGTAAGATCTTTCAAATTTAATCAGAAAATTCGGAGATTTAAAAAAATTGTGTTGCCACTCGGGAAAACGCAATTATGTTAATTTATCTCGAATTCAATAAACACACTGAAGTATTCAAGAGAAATATGCTGCCACTGCCAAAATTAAAACATTTTAATATATGTTAGCACTTCAAGCTTTTCGCGTGGGCGGATGTATGTGGCCTGCTCACGCGTCGGAAAACCTTCCATTTTATTCGGGGAAGCACCAAATGGAAAAACAAAAGCTATTATGCATCCAAAAGCACTTCAATAAACGGAATTAAAATACGAATACTTTTTCTCCTTTAAATGGCATTACGGGTAACAGCTAGTTTGAAATAAAAGAAACTACAAAAATTGTGAAATATTCTTTAATATTACGAATATAGTTTAAACCTTATGTTTGGCACAGATTTCAATTAAAACTCTGTTGCCTTGGAGGGTGAACAGGTACAGGTGCCTCTTTGTCAGGAGAAAAAAGAACTCTAAAGAAGAAACTAGCCGCGAAGATAGACTTTCAATTTGAAGTGTTAAATTGGGAAATGGAAAAAAAATGCGATGATTCGCTGCAGATTGAAAAGAAGATATCAATGTCAAAATAAAATGCTGAACCCTCAAAAAATATTAAAAAAAAGTCGGTCACAAAGCCAAACATGCTAACGAAATTTTAAATATTGCTTTATTTCCTGAATGACCGAAAAATACTACTTAACATTTCATTAAATTTGCAGACTATGCTTAAGTAATCAGTTTATATAGACTTATCTATGTTTTCTATTTCCTTATCAGTAACTTAACATATGCTTACACAAAAATAAATTATTGAGCTTGCGTTAACAGAAAATGCAGCTATTTGCAATTCTTAAACTTTCCGGTGAATGTGCACTTTTTTTCAATGTATCCCACCTATTTATATTATACATTTAATACAGGATTAGCCTATTGGCTGCCATGTGAAATGTGTGTTGTTTGTATTTCTTGAGCATGACTTAACTTTTAAGGATGATGACTTAATAAGACGATTTTTAAAATTTGGTCCATTCTTCACGATATGAAATATTAAATTTTCATCATTTTATTTTAGCTTTTCTTGCTACCCTTGACAAAATGCTACGCATTTTGGAAAATGCATCGATTTGCGTCTTTTATAATTGTGAGTAAATACTGAGAGAAAATAAATTTGAGAGTGCCTCTTAAAAATAAATGCATTGAGAGAATCTGTAGCCACTTCTGCTATTAATCGTCGAAGTCGACCGCCGACTGAAAACCGATCTTTTTTATTATCTTGTGCAGCCGATCTATTCTTTCAAAAAGACATTTTACGTTCAGACAAACTGAAATTGTGTGTTGATAAAAATCCTTATTCTATGCAAAATATACTATTAATTTAAATGTTTCGAAAATAGAAAAACTGTGATAGTATTCGTTCAAGTCTTTTGCTTCGAACAGAGCCTGTAAAATGGCCTGGTAATTCGACCAAGGTTCGAATATCAGCGAATGAGCTTTGCTATATGGGCGCTCTTGATGTTTTCCAAATGTACAAAGTGGATATGAGCTGGATTCCCTTACGAAACGCCCCTACTGCAAACCAGTACACAAGGCAAGTATCCCTTAGAAAGTTCTCCGCGAAGGCATTCCTCTCCTTAGGCAGATAACACTCTCTTGATTTGCCATAATCAAATAAACTTAACCAAAACTCGTCTATTTTTCTGGCAATTGAACGGATTGGATATATGACGCTTTTATGGTTTTTCTCACAACACGGCTCTGGTTCCTTTAGAATGTCATCCATTTAGTCCCCTCCTTATAGTCAGAGCAAATTTGCCTATTAAAGTAACGCATTTCAATATCACTTAAGTAACTCTCAAGATGAAGGTCCATCGATGTTACCGAGATTTACTGGAAATGCAGAAAAAATATGTAATTTTTTTTTTAATTTGTCAATATGCAAGTTTATTGATTTACTTTAGCAAAACATTTGTTGAGAAAAAGCTTCCTGTCTAATCAGGTTAAGCTTATTTTGGGTTTTCAATAAGAATAATCAACTTTTCTTTCTTCATTTTCTAGAGTTTGAGTGATTGTAGTTCTCCTTGTCTGAAGATTCCTGGCCAACCATGGAATATTGAACCCTAAATGCAATTTAATGCACTTTATTATTCCGAAACGTAATCATATTAAAAGTGACCTAAATTTCTGTCAGATGGACTTTACGGTTTACTTGATTATGGCAAAGTACACGAGGTTTATCTGCGTAAAAGGAGGTATGCCTTCGTGGATGATTTTCTAAGCGAAACTGGCTCGTATCGATGTTACACATAGAGAAAATATGAAAACGCTTATGTAACCAGTACGTTCGCCTAGAATCGAACCTAGGTCGAAATATTAGAGTTCACCGACTGCCGCTGGTGGGCCTTAGTCAGATGGGATTCTGATGTAATAAAAAAAATCCCTTGGCTTTTAATATTTATATTCCTTAAAAGAGAAGTGTTAACTGCGCTGCTCATTGTTAATTAGTTAACTATTTTATCCCTTATACTTGCATTTGTCGTAAATTAAAAAACTAACTGAAGTTTTTTGTCGATTGAATATAGTCAAAAACCTATACACAGAACTAGAGGCCCTGGGAAAAACCTATTATAAAAGTCTAATTTTATTCATATATCACTGATGGGAATTACGTAAAATTCTTCATGAATTAATCCTTTAATTTGACATTTAAAAATATATAAACAAAAAATTGATTCCCATTGATATATACTTTTCTCCAAGGTTCAGCTTATAATGAAGTATAAATATTCATATTTTACGAAACTATGAAGTTAAAAATTTTATTCTACTTAGAATGAAAAAATTTAAAAACCTCAAAATGAGAAACTTAGAACATACCTAGAAGAAAAAACAAATGCGTAAGATTTTACATAGTTTAACATAACATTTATACTTTTATACTTCATTTCTTTAACAAATTAAAAATAATCCTTTATCGGTTTACGAACGTAAAATACAGCGAGGAACAATAAATTCAGAGCAAAGGTTACACACAGTTGTTCTATAAATTACATCAGAAACTTTCAAATTTGTAACAACTGATAGCCAGGTTAAGCAATCTATTGAATAAATTAAATACTTTATTATAATAAATTCAATAAGACGAAAAGTAAGTGACAAACATATTTACTTGATAATATAATTAACTTAAGTGTTGTAATCCATTGCACCCTCCATCAGAACATCCTTGATTTATGGCCGTTGAACACGCGGCTTCGTTGATGTAAATTGACTTGGCTGTGCGCTATTCCTGTGACGTCGTGCATGTCACGTGACCAGATGCAAAACAGTTTTGTCGAATTTTTCCCATTCATTTTTTACAAAAGTCTGGAGAGCAGAATTTAAGTAGAAAAGATTTAAGTAGTCTTCTCCGAAAGAATTTAGGTCTGGAATTTATGCAAAATACATGAGCCGAAGAATTAATTTGTGGTATAGTAGTCTACTGTTGCGATGGCTATTTATTTTTTGTTAAGTCATGCGGCTGGGATATTTTGATACAGTTATATATGTAAAGAACATCGTACGAATACCGGGCTCTTTCCTTAAAAGTAAACACGTCATCTTGTCCTAATTAGCATTTAGGTCATTGTTATTGAATGCTGAACACTTCGCCTTGCTCAACTTTCAATTTCAAATTTGCAACAATTGTTATCTACTCTGCATTCCTGCACCATTTCGAACGTTCCTTGCTCTCCTTTATCCCAAGTATTCATGTATAAAACAATTGGTAATTCGGCAATAACCATAAAGCCTTAACCCAAACAAATATTGAAAAACTGTGTACTGAAATTTCTCCTGATAAAATGTTTGAAATAAATGAGAGCTATTGGAATAATAGAATTTCTTAAAAAGTCATCAGTCTAAGGCACTGATTCCACAAGTTATTTCAGCATGAATATGCAAGACAATTTTAAAAAATAAATTTACGTTTCATTAATTTAAATAAATTTAATGATTTTAAAGTGGTTTAAAATATTACGCACATAAACAAAACAAAGATTTCACACCGAAAGTTTAGTCAAATTGTTGAACGTTTAGTAAAAATAATTCTTATCTACGATGCTCATGCGATTTATAGTGTAAGGTTCGTGTATAAGCATCATTTTCATTATATGAAATAAAAACTTAAGTGATTTCTGATGGTACTAGAATGCCATATTTAAAATATTTGGCGTAAAAATTATTTATGCAATTATTAGTCCAGAAGCGCAATTACCACCAAATATTATCGCCCTGTATTATATTTGAAGAAATTATAATGAAAAATCTGCATAAATGTATGTAAGTTTCTCGCATTGTGATAAAACAACGGTCCTTAGAGCCATCCAGTTTTGAATGCCGTAATCCTACTGCGAGTATGCCCCTCTAGAACCCCGAATTTGAAATTTGGAATTTGTTTTATGACCGATTTCATACTTCCTAAAATTTTAACAAAATTTTGATTAACAAACTCAAGGATTTTAAAGCGAGCAATGGAAACATTATACAGAAAGATCATTTTTATTTCCAGCGCGCGAGACTGTGCACCAGAAGTTCTAAAGATATGCTCATTTTAAAATTATTTTGTGATATTGCTCTGAAACTGAATTTTATAGTTTAAGTGCGAAAAACATGATATTTAATAAATAAATAAAACAGACAAAATGTTAGAAAAACACCTCTTTGGACGTAATTTAAAATCTGAAACATTTCAGATTTTTTTAAAAACTTTTATTATTAATGCAATTATTACATTAAAAAATTAAGTTATATTTAATATAGATAATAATTCTTTAATAATATAATACATGTATATTGAGTGAACAGATAAATCACGTCATGCATGAGGAAATTGAAAAACTTGCTTGTCTATGAAAAGGCTTTGCTGCATTCTGTACAAGAAATTTATGATATAGCATCATTTGGGACGGCGCATAGTTCGTGTTGTAGGGTTACGGAGTTAGAGCCCCTCGTAACCAATCATTATAATGCCCCATTTTGCGCAAAATGGGTTTCAGCATAAAGGCTTGAGTATCTGACCAGAAACTGACTTTTATCATACTATTACAATCACTTTATTTTCGAAATTTCTTACACTTTTCGTCATTGCTCTCGCTTACTAAACTACTGCTACTACGATGTCATTCTTAGACAATTTTCTCTGCAGCAGTTTGAATAAAGAAGCATTTTAGATTTTTTCCTTGTCGAGGATTATATTCCACCATATTTTCTGATAGCGCCAAAGCTTTCAAAAACGCGAGTTGCGAATTCAGAAAATAGTGGAATAAGATAGATAATAATCGAGTAAAATACGTTTGCTTCGAAAGGTATAGTTGGAAATTTTATAGTTGAAAAACGTCCATGGACAGATACAAGAAGCAGATACGAACGGTTCAGAATTTATGAAAGAGAATTTTTAGACGATCTCTTCTCTGAAAGAATTGGAAAATGTTTCCGAGAGACTGAAGCCATGATTAATTCCAGGCCTATCACGTATCCGTTCAACGTACACAACGTTAAATATATCAAGTTTTAAATACTCAGAACCCTCGCCATTCACCTCATCTCATTTCTCCTTAGTAAAAGCTTTACTTAAAACAAAACATAACATTGAAGGTTAATGGAAATTCTTTGGCAAAGAAATATAATTATCAGGAAATTCTTTTGAATCACTTTGGAACACGTGGAGGAAGGAGATTTGCTTAATTTAAGATCAGCCTATATTTCTGCAAGTTTCATTTAAGTTGAATAATATTGTTTTCCATTAGCGTTATTTTAGAAATATGTGAATGATGGGAAAGGGTTTAGAAATGTACACATGACAAGATAAAAATTCGGTCTATTTTTAAAACTCCTAAAGGAAATATAAAACGCTTAACACAACTCGTGTTTAATTTGGAAATTATTCCTTAATTAAGTAAGTGTAATTTAAATTGCAAATCTATTAATTTTCTTTCTATGTATTAATAATAGTTGTAATTATGCTTATGTGTTTAAAACTTGATATATTTAAATAATATTATTTAGCATGTTAAAAATGTGATTTTTGTTTGTATATCAAGTGATTTGAAGAATTTTGATGCTTTGTAGTCGATGTAGTTATAAATGGTTTCTGAATGTTAATTTTATTGGAAATCAATGGTAAATGAACTCATGTGAGTTCAGGTGGGGAACGTTATATTAATTCTATCGTCAATTGGTCAGAGAGGGCTGTGTATGCTCCATTAGTCAGTGGCAGGAAGAGATTAAGGGTCTAAGTTGCGGTAGGCTCAGATAGTCTAATAATATATCCTCAAATATTTTATCAATATTATATTTTTTTAATAATTTTTTGTTGTTATTTGATGGAACATCTATGCTCAGTTAGCCACAATAAATCATCAGCAGCTTAATTTAAAATTGCAGCTTTGTTTAAATTTTCTCTCGTTTTTTTATTTATGGTGAACAATGGTACAAAATGTTGCATTACTAAAGCTATCGATAGACTAAACAATCGATAGTTTTGGTAATGCAATATTTGATACGATATTTTAAAGACACGGATGGCTTAGAATGTGAAGAAGCCTTTGATATTAAGTTAAAATAGCTGAACTGATTGAGAATTGTGATACTTATTCAGTTATTAATGATAACATGCTTGCAATTAAATAATTCAGACATTTATTAAATCGAATTAATTTGTAATACAAATATCAGTCGGTTGTATGTTAGTTTATTATTTCATTTATTTGATTTTCTTGAGATCAAAGTTTATTTTTCTGTTGCTAGAATAAATTTAAGGATTGTGTCTCAGAATTGAATTCCAGTATTACATATGCATGAAGAAACTCGAAAGTTATAGGTTTTGCTTAAGATTTATAATTTGGAAAACATATTTTCTTTTTTTTTCGGTTAACTATGTTTGTATTCGCTTAATCTTTCTTTGCGATAATCTCGCGATTTTACTTTTTAAATATATTGTGCATTCAGATTTAAAATAAAGAGTAAATAAACTAAACATATAGAAATATTTCAACAATAATATTAAGTCAACAATGTATAAGAACAGAAAAATAGTGAATCCATATCAACAAATTCACAACTTCATAATTTATGAAAATAGAAATGACAATATAGCACGAGGAAATAAATCACAGATGAATTCCAGTCTGGAAGCACGAGCGAACCTCTGGAGAGTAAAATGCAGGTTTGATGATCGTACTCTAAGAAGGGCTGACATATTTCATTGAGAAATGTTCCACTTAATAACGTCCATAATTCTTCGACGAGCTGTGCTGCTTCTTGACCGCATATCATTTCAGTAGCTTTTGTTGAACAGTTGATGTTTTCAAAGTAAATGCTGGAAAAATAGAACATGGTTGAATTAAATCATATTTTACTTAAAACTTAGCTAATTTATTTTCTTTTAAAAGCCTTTTTATATTTGTAGTCACCAGAAATTCAACTTTCGCTTGAAATCCTTAATTTCTAATTTTGTCCACGGTTTTTATCCAGGGTTAAAAGTACCGTTCGTGAATAAATATTTAAAGCTAAAAAAATTTATCATCTTATAAAAGAAAAGTTTCAGTATTAATCTGTGATATGTTATATGTGTAGACAAAACTCTGTTAAGCAAATAATTTTATATGAAACAATTAAGTTAAGGAAATACCTAAATACCTGGAAGATTTTACGAAGATGGTATAAACAGGCGTCGGCAACCAGGCACCCGCCGACACGTGCTAATGCGCCAGCGCTAAATTAGTCTGTCTTGTGTGCAAAATTGCGCACAAGACAGACTAATTTAATTTGCAGTTTTTGGGTTTATGCTTATATAATACATAACAAAATCATATATTTTTACATCTCTGTGTCAAGCAGAAATTTTATTGCACCGTCACTGCTCGAAATGTTTCTTTGTCGAGAGGAAGAGACTAAAGTCGGACCGACATGGCAGCGCGGCGCGGCGTGGCGTGGTTGATGTATTTAAGCGTAACCTCTCTGTGGTCGCCAGTACGTGCGGGCAAAGATACTTAACGGGTGTAAAACAAGACATCTATCTGCTTTGTCTATATGTGACAATTTTGATTAATTTGTAATACTTCGACTTTTAGACAAGCAGTGAAATCAATTATTGTAAAGTGTGTAGTATGTGTTCGTTGCTTTCTTGTCAGATTCGTTTACACACTTTCTAATCATCCAGGATTGTTTCTTCCAGAGATCTGCTTACAAACTGATGACTTTAACAACCTACGATGAACAAAACTAAGCGAGCACGCACTTATAATAATTTTAATTAAGAATGGGATTTTTGCTTTATAAATAAAAAAAAAAAATGAATATGCTTATTATGCAACAAAAGGGCAGCAACTCCAAAGAAAAGTAACCTTGAGTGACATTAAAGAACGGTGTATCCGAAATTTGACTCAGAGTATCCTGAACTTTCTGAACTACAAAGAAATAAAATTTCATTATTAAAATCATCGATTTTGGAGCAACAATCTACTTTTAACGGACCGCTGGAAACATCAACGATAGCAACACTCGCATCGATTAAAATTTCGCATATATTTACTAAGAAAAAAAAAAGCCATATACGGATGGAGCAATAATAAAAGATGCAATGTTGGAATCTCCAGAACATTTTGCAGATTTTTAAAAATTATAAAAAAAATATAAATATATAAAGAAATTGTTCCGGCCCATAATTGCCGTGCACTTGTTAGCTAGAACTGTTACGAAGGAAATTGAGACAATCGCAAGCCACTTAGAAATCCAACTGATAAAAGATATGAACAACTGTGTATTTTGTTTCCCTTACAACTGGACGAATCGAAAGCTACAACAAATGCAGCACAATTGGTAATAAGTGCCAGGATGACCTTTGACGATTTTACTATAAGAGAAGAGTTTCTAAAAATCCTATCGCTTAAAAAGCGCCCACGAGGAAAGGATTTGTTTTGTACCATAAAAGTGTTTTTGATTGACGCTAAAATAACGATTGAAACGCTGTTTTCGAATAGGGCACATTTAAAGTTTCGTTAAAAACTGATCTATTTGAACTTAGATAAGTGTTTAAGAGCATGCAACTTATATTATATTGTAGATTAGTAAACGAATTACTAACACAAATTTCACACTGACATATAAAAAATTATCTAAAGAGTATAAATATCTGTTTAGTTCAATAAAGTTATATTTTTTAAACAAAACTAGTTTGTAATGATTATGACGACTGAGACGATACAACGGAAAATACAAAATTGCTATGCGCACTTCAAAGAACATTACCGTTCAAAAATAATCTGTTGTTGCCACTAGGGAAAATATATTGTAAAAAAAAGTTTACATTTGGGCATCCTGACTTTGTTATGACCTTGGAACATTAAGAACTTAAAAAAATTAAATCTGTAATATTAAAATTTATAGTTCGAAAGTCTAACTATCATATAGATTCACCGTCGTTTTCTATTTTTTTCCGTGTCTTAGTTTTAGTATGCGGCGTGTTGTTATCGTTATCCCCAGCAACACTAATGTCATCACCATCCTCCTCCTCCTCCTCTGATTCAGCTTCACACTGCCATGACTTTAATTGGCTCACATAAGCTGTTCTACTAAAGAAACGTCCTTTCACCTTCTCTTCTAATTGAGTCACTCTATAGGTATCAGTTGGTAAAACTTCTGTAACTACCAAAGGTCCTCGATACTTTTGTTGTGTTTTGATTGATTCTCCAGTTGATTTAAGTACTCTTCTCATAATTACTATTTCTCCTCGCTCGAGTATTAAAGAATTGCTTTTCTTGTTGTCATAATTTGCTTTCATTTTCATCTGCATATCTTCAATTCTCTTTCTAGCTTTATACGTAAGATTACTAGAGTCTCCCATTCATTTGTACCTTCATCTGTAATCATCCTCATCAATCCTTCGGAAAGTTTTCGTGAATAACCGTGAAGCATTTCGAAAGGAGTTTTATTTGTAGTCTTATTTATCATATTGTTTAGATTGTTGGATTTGCTCTTTCCACCATTTTATTACCACTTGGATGTTGAGTTGAATTGAACGTATGTCTGATTCCATTATTTTGACAGTACTTTCGAAATTCCTTCGCTGTGAAGCGTGTTTCTCTATCGCTGGTAATTTTTTCTGGTAACCCAAAATCATTTACAATACTCTTCAATGCAACTAACACACACTTGGTTGCAGTACGTTTCATAGGATATAAGCGTGTAAATCTTGTAAAATTATCAATTATTACAAATAATTCCATATTTCCTCTTTTCTTTTTTTACGAATGGTCCTAAACGATCTATATGTATGATTGCAAAAGGTCTTCTACCAGGTCTAATTGGATACAGTACTCGTTGTTTCTTACCACTAGGCACTTTATTTACTAGGCATTCGAAACACATCGAAATGTGACGCATAACATGTCGTTTCATTCCTTTAAACCAGTATGACTCCTTGATTTTGGCAACAGTTCTATCTGCTGAAAAATGTCCCAAAAGATCGTGAAATTTTACTACAATACCTTTTCTCATCGACTTAGATATGATGATACGCTTGATCATAATTTAACAGTCATAATACGCTTGGTCATAATTTGCTTGATCGAAAGAATCTGATGATAAAAGTAAGGAAGAGGAAGCTGGTAAAGAAGAACCTACAGACGACATTTCTGATATAGATTGTGATATGTTTAAATGTTGGAAGTCACATGATGAAGATGGAGAACCGAAAGATGAGAAAGCTGGGGCTAAAGAAAATGGTGAAGCAGAGGTTAATGAAGAAGAAAGTGGTGACAAAGAAAAGGAAAAATATAAGGATGCAAAATCTTCTGATGATTCAGCTCTCAAGAAAACATTAATCTGTTACATGTGCAAGGTTAAATGCTCTGCTCGTGAAAGACTTATTTAGCATCAGAAATAGTAATGTAAGTGATTATGTTCCTTCTAAAGTTTTTGTAATATGAGTAAATTAATGCATACGTATGATTTGAATGAAGGTGAAATACGTTTTTATTTAGTCTTATTTGAGAGACAAGGACGACGTATTGGGTTAGAAGAACAAAATTGGGTTTCCTCAGCTGTTGGGTCTATTGGCTTATGAAATAACTCAAATAATCGCCCGTGAATCATAAGAAAAAGCTAACGACTATAAGCACGTTAAACAACTGCTATTGAGAAAAATTTAAGTTAAGCCCTGAACAGTTTCGGCAAAAGTTCGTTGATCATATTAAAACGTTGCGTAATACGTGGATGGACTTCACGTTTGAACTGAAAATTTACTTTGAAGTGTGGCTTGCTGGATGAAATACAACAGATTTTGACTCTTTAAAATAGCTTATTATTACGGATCAATTAAAGAAAAGGGTCCCCGTTGCTATAGTAGTCATTTCATTGATGATTGGTCTGAATTCATTAATCCTGAAGAGTTGGCTGAAACACTAGATGAATATGAAAATATTCGGGCAGGGATGAAAGTACTTCAAGTAGAAAATAAAACCTTTAGGCATAATTCTAAGCCTAAATTTGGTACTATGAACAATTATTTACTATGAACTTATTTTTGACACTTGATCTAAAACAGAATAATATCAAAAGGAAGTATTTGCTTTTTCAGAGTGGTAAAATATTATTCAGTAAACACAGATGAAAGATGAACAATGATCAGAATTTTATCAGAAAAGAATGCAGTTAAAATTTTGATTCGTTGAATGAAATTAATTGTCCTCACTTGAACCTTTCAATAATGATGTATTCAGATTAGAAGAATTCGTTATGCTTCTACCTGATACGTCAGCTCCAATGAGCATAATTTACTTATTCTAAGCAAACACTAGTTATGAGAAAGAAATCTCTTACTAGTGTGAACAATGTAGGGACTTTCAAATGTAAAAGTGAACTTCAGATATTCTTATAGCGTCTTATAGTCATAAAAACCCAACAAGCTGTTTTAAAGAAAATATTATGCAATAATACAAATGTGTAAAGGAAAAGGAGAAATAAAAGCTATCACCTGTGTCACATCAACTTGCCCGTCTGGTGCGAAACCTCTTTTTGAATATTTTGAGAAGTTTAATGATTGCAGTCCTTACTATTCCTTTGCGGCCCACCAGTGAATTAATTTGGAAGTCATCCAGCAGCTGCTTGGGTAGAAACAAAAAATGCTAGCTTTATCCCTTTGCACAGTAAATTAATTTTCATACAGAAATGTATAACTTGTAATCAACCAGTAACCAATTGGCTAAATCCAAAAAATACTGGTAATACACTTCACGAGGCAGATAGTCCTATCGTTCTTAATCAAATAAATCATAAAGCAAACTAGTACGTCACCGTTTAATCCCAATGGTTCAGCGAGCTGGATGCCTGAGGTTTTGATGTTTTTCATCGAGCATAATTCCACCGCAGTTACGAACCAGTTTACTTTAAGACCGTCTTTCACTAACTGAGACCTTTCCACAGTCACGTAACTTTAGTGTGGTCTGTCATTTACAATTTTACACTGCCGTTCTCGCATATTCAGAATGGATGAGATTTCAAAGAGGTAACAAAATTAGCCCAGAGGTTTCAGTCATCATCTTAGAAGGACGATAGACAACTTTCAGGAGGGAAGAATTCTAATGAAGCATTTCAGGAACTGCTTTACTCACCAGCAAGTCTTCCGTTTCAGAGATAAAATATCACCTTCTTCCGCATCTAGTTTCTTCTGTGATGTTTCGTATTTTTTGCTACATTTATCTAGCTCTGTTGACACTTTTCGAATGCACGTAGAGTGCTTTAAGTACCCTAAGAAAAGAAAGGGAGTAATTGTGAAGTTATGATTTTCGCAGCATATTCATTTACAGTAAAACTTCCCAAACTAACATGATTTTCACGTAATTTTACAGAATTATCAATAGCTATTTATAGAAAAATAATATATATATTGGGTAAATCATATTAATAAGAAACTAAAAATAATTTCTCAGTTTAATGAATGACAGTTCGTGTGTTGAATGATATTAACAGGAAATACTATTAATTATAACAGGAAATTATATTAAAGAATTTATTCTATTTAATTACAAACATTATTTATTCAAAATAAAGTCCGTTGGACAAAGGGAAGTTAGTTAATATTGAAGATAACAAGTATTTCCCCACAATTGCACTTTAAAATAGGGCAAATAATATTTCATGTGCCTGCTGTGTATCCTTACTTTATGCAGATCTTGAAATCATGGAAATAGACCCAAAGTTAATGAATTTAAAGGCATAATTTATTTACAGTATGAACTTCTATAAAGAATTTTGTGAATTTTAAGGAAATTTCTCTGATTTCGGGAATAAAAGTTTCTGCGACTACGTATGTCAAACACTTTTTCTACTACTTTTATTTTCCTTTATCTGTTTTTTTTTTCACCTTGAAACAGTTTCACATTATATGTTTATTAAAGTAGTAATATAATACTCTATCGCAAAACATTTTTGTCCCGAAATTCAGTCTAAACTTCAATAATAGAAATTATGTATAAGTTTGGGGAAAAAAGTTAAATGCACTTCTGTTAGCAAACTGAAAATGCCGTCTTTTCATCCAATCATGAAAGTCTTCAGAGTGCATATTTGTTTTTATGTTCGTGGACGTTTTAGAAGATGTATTGATTATTGTATTAAAAAATGACATCTTGTTAAAGCAAATAAACTCTTTAGTTCTAGTGCTGAGTATGCCTACTAGCAGCCGAGCGGTAAAATCATTTAACGCTGGTAGTTCCGATCTAGTTACGTTTCCAGATGAACGAACTGCTGTAAGGACGTTTTCATGGATTTTTTTATGTGTAATGTGTTTATGAGCCATTTCCTTAGACATTCTTTTACAAAGGCATCCCTCACCAAAGGCAGATAACCTTAGCATGTGTGTATGTACATGCAATAATTTGAAGTGATGATATTGAAGCAGGAAAAATATAGTTGCAGTCATGGCCAATTTGAGTATCACTTTTATTCTCGTTGACAAACATTTTTATAAGCAAACTCAAATAAATTGGCGCAAAAAGCGCCTGTTCTAAAAAACTGCATCGATGCTGTATGAATGCTGCAGACAGCAGCATATTGGTAAAAGAGAAGCGGAGAAGTAATTGCTGATTGTTAGAGATAAATTTTTATTTCAAAATGAGCGCGTTTAGATTTCTCTGTATGTTGATTGGCTAATTAATAACTCTCTAAAATTATTGTTTTACTAAAGAGTTATATAAAAGCTTGCATCATTAAGGAATGTAAGAAGCATATGACATGCAATAATTTTGAAACAAAACAGTTTAGAGCGGTTTAGTAAGTATTATTTTTAGGATGGAAAGGGGATATATCCAGACTAAATTCAGAGTTTAAGGAATATTACAAACTAAAATTAGAAATATTATTTATCTGATAGTGATAGAAAAATCTTTTTAGAGAAAAAGCATTAAAGCAGCAAAATGTAAATAGAAAAGTGAATAAAACTGCTGTAATTTAAATTGTTACGTCGCAAAGCACAAATCATGAAATTTTCAACAAAATAAAATTTTTATACTTATATAAAATTTCAATTCTTAATTCAAAAGTCTTAATAAAATTTCAAAATTTGGTCCAATTTGAAAACAATTCTTTTTCTTGCAAAGTCCAAATGACGATTATGTTTCTTCAGAGAATGTTTTTATAACTTTTCTTACAAAATACCATAAACAAAAACTTTTACATTCTCATTACTTATTTTGATAAATTTCATAAAAAATTTTAATACTGTTTATTTTCCTATTTAGAATTTACATTTTATCATTATAAACATTTTAAAAATCTATTAAAAATATAGGCATATTTTACTTCCATTGCCTTATTTTACACATTAATTCGATTGCCATACATTGATTATCCGCAGTTCCTCACAATTAAACATTTTCATCAAATCTTACATATTATTACTCATTGTAACTTATCATTACTTATTTTAATACGTTATAATGGTTCATAAAAATTTATATCACTCTTAATTTTCCTATTAAGAATTAACATTTTATCATCATAAATATTTTAATTTTCCATTAAAATGATGGTCACATTGCTATATTTTATTTCCACTGCCTTTTTTTGCCTTTGTGTGAAAGCACCACAGTTCCTCATAATTAAAATTTTCATCAAATGGGCCATATCCTCTTAGACTGATTAGTGTATTACTGCACCAGTGGTCAAGGGATATTCAAGAGTTACTTGAAAAGGCCTCCATTCTTTGCATAAGGTAACTGCCTCTTTAAAACTGCAGTAAAACATTCCACAATTAAAAAAATTCTACATAAAAAGAAAAATATTATACTCAATCGTAAAAAAGAGAACTTTCAATTTTTCCTTTATGAGAGGGTAAACGGAACAATTTATTTTCAGATGTAAAAATATATTGATCTGGGATTTTCAAGCAATAAATAGTTCGTTAACATAATCCGTTATTGCATTTAGCTATTTATTTCACAATTATAACATTTATTCGACATAAAATTGTTATTATAAATTTTACTTTTAAATTACATTAATCATTTTCAATTTTATTATAATGATTTAAGAAATTAAATTTAACGTTAATTAAAAGTTAATTTTAACGTTAATTATAAAATACTTATATTCACAACATTTATTATAATTTATAAGACAAATAAAGCAATTTTATGTACTTCTTCTATGCAAAGTTCAAAATTATCTTTTATTTATATTCACTATTATTTATATACAATATATTTGATATTTATCTCATTCTAAAACTAATCAAAATAAATTTTAACTGCTATTTTATTCTAAAAGTATTTAAACGTTTAAACAATAATCCAAAGTTACAGTTATTAGTATACTGAATTTTTCTAACCTTAAATGACTGAAATGTTCGATTTTTTTTTGTTCGGCACAAAATTTATTCATCATAATTACTTAAATTTCTAAAATCATAAAATTTTAAACTATCATTTTCATAATAACACTGACATTGTAGTGTTACTATTATTTTGTATTAACCAATTATTTATAATTTAAGCCTTTACTATAACTTCTTCTTTCTGTTTCCTCACCAGAAATGTAAGCTGAGGTTTTCGGATTGTAAGGCAGAGCGTGTTTCTGTCTCTTGACGCGCGTTACTTAGTTTTGCCAGCTCTGTTAAGATTGTAATTATTCAGCTTTGCGTTATAGCTGCTGTAATTTAAATTGTTAGGTCGGTGTGAATTCTGAGACTTAGCATTAGAGTTAAAACTGTGTAATCTTGACTACTAGCTTACATTTTAAATTTTGAATTTGACTGTTACTTTAAGTTGCATTACCACAACTGGTGGCTGATTATGAAAGCGCGAGACGAGCATTTTATGTTGAAGTTCTGATTTAAATGGAAAGTTTTTTTAGACGTTTTCAAAGACTCTGTACTTCATTTCAGAATTGCAGACACAGCGATAATTCGCTTAGTACCTATTAAGAGTTTGATGCTAGTTTATGCTCTCAAAAAAAAAAAAAAAAAAAAAAAAAAAAAAAAAATCAAACACTATAACAGACTCAAATTTTAAAACTATTAATTATTAGCAATTTCGAATTTAATAAAATACTTTCAATTGTATTAATAAATCAATAAAATAACTGCCTGTTGCAACACATAGAAATCTAAGGTGGATGAACAGGAGTTGAACACACAATAAATTGAAAGGGTTCATTTTTCTTCCCGTAACTTACGAGATTTCAAATTGCTGATACGCTGGATACATCTCCATGTAACCACTGAGAATGATAATCAAATCACTGATACGCTGAATTGTTGAAACACTTATTAATCACTTTATCGATTCCTAAATACGATATTGGACAACTTTTGTTCAGTTTGATGACACGTTTATTAAATGAAATTAATGGTTTAGTTTAATTCATTATGGCAAAGCACACTAGAGCTATCTGCCTAAGGGTAGGATGCCTTTGTGGAGAACTTTCTAAGGGAAACCGGCTCGTATATACGTTACACGCGGGGAAAACCGCAAAAACGTCCCCACAGCCAGCCCGTTCACCTGGAATCGAAACCAGGTCAGAACTACCAGTTTTCAGCGGTTTTAGCGCTCAGCCGTTGTAGGCTAAATGCAATTAAACATAACCAAGAAAAAATTTTAACTTTCGAAGATAACACAGACTTGACACAACTATTTTTGGTGAAAGGTTTCCGCGAGAACGTTGTAACTCTACAATCTAGAAAATATATAATAATTTGTTACAGAAGTTACTTGCAATTATGGACGACTAAATATGTTTCCTTTATACTGTACGCTAGTGTCCCTTGTACAAATTTGCATAACCAAAAAAATAGGTCTACTACATTTGAAACGTTGTGCTCAAATATGTTTTTATCATAATACTAGGCAGCTTCATGGACGTAAGCTTTTTAAATTTAAATCTATTTTCTTTTAAACTTAAGGAATCATGGAATTAAAATTTAGTTAATATACTGTAAATATTATAGTAAATATTTGTAGATGAATGTGTAAAAAACTGTATTTAAGAAGCTCAGGTTTGAAATTTGTCTCAAAATCTGTCAGTAAGGCTATGATACATTTGCTCTGTTTTAGCTACAAATACAGTATTCGGAACATTTAATTACCTTTCTCGTCTAACAACTTCAACATATCAGACTCGTAAATATAGGGTCGTTTTACATTCATTTCCCTTTTTTTCCTTGTAAAACATCTTCAAAAACATATGATCATCTTATATATTGATAAGTACATTATATTTTTATACGTGCTTTTCATCTACAGGTGTTTGCATAATGATGATGCTTAAAATGAGGTTCGATACAGCAAACATTATATACTTAACATTTCAAAATAGAAGCATTTTGAAAAGCTCTTACTTTTCCGCAGTTCGCTGTCTTTTAAGCAAAACTGCTCCAAAAATTTATCTGATCCAAGGCTTAAAAGTTTAAAATGCTCTTGCTGTTCCTGTGGAAGACATTCTTTGGCAAAAGAATTCACACAGTTAACCACTGTCAGCTGTTTCCTAAAACGAGAAAGAAGCACTTCATAAAATGTGTTCAGATTTATTTCCATTGTTTTTAATAATATGGCACGTGGAGCTAAAGTGTGGAAGAGATAATTCGTCACCACCAGGATCTGACAATTCTGTTCCCACCTCCTTTGTCGCCCTTTAGTGTGTGTGTGAAGGGGGAGAATAAAAGGCATTTTCTCTTTTGTTCCAGTGCTTCTCATTGGTGCATGACGTCATTGGAAGTACGTCCGGCTAGCAGTCGTGAGATAGGGATTCCGAATTCCGGGGAAGGCATTAAACACTTTTTTTGTTTCCCGCTTCGACAAACTTAATAACACTACAAGTTGGCCTGATATCACTGTTCTCTTGTTTCTGTGCTGTCTCATCACTGTTTTCGCTTCGAAGCCGTATATGGTGTAATATTTGACTGCTCTATCATGAATGTTTGTAGCATGCACTCCCATTGAATAGATACAGGTCTCGTAGATGTATTTTTATTTTGGAGGCTATAATGGTACATTGCTGTAAGATTTCTTCAATGAGTCTTCGCTGCCTTATCAGTTAACATCGATTTTCGTTCGTTATTCCATTTTGAAAGATACAACACTTCTTGCAGCGCTCACGATTTGGCTGTTCTCGTCAGGGACAGCTTAGCGAGCTCAGCTGTAATGATCGTATCTCTCTGGAAATCACAGAAGTCCAACACAGCAGTGTTTGAGTTCACATAGAGCAGTCGCAAATGCTGATGATTAAGCGTTACTTTCGCTTTCAATTGTGCTAGAAAACAAGTCTCTTATGTAAGATGGTATGACATTTCTGCAGGGTCTTAATTACAAACTGTTTTAGTTTCCATATTATTTTTACAAATTGTGTGTAAAATAATACTTAGTATACAATGAACAGACAAAACCTGGAACTTCTTTTTATGATCTCAACTCATCACATTTAATATTTACGCTATAAATAGATAAAAAATATCAACTGGCTTTTTTTAAAAAACAAATATTGTTTATTTTTAAAACCCGCTTATTTTCTACGTCTTTAAAACACAGATAATAATTTTTTAACTCTTTCTTATACTAGAATGAGACATATTGAGTCTTCGCAATAAGTAGGTGAGGTATTTATAATGCCTAACGAAAATTTTTTTCGCAGAATTTTGAAAAGTATTTTAATTTTCTTAGAAAAATTAATATATGTATGCATCATACAGAAGAGATTAACAAATAAAAGGAATAGACTAAGACTAATATGTGCTTGATCACAAACCAAGCATCGATTCCTTGAACATTTCGTAATTACAATAGGTTAAATTGGGTTATTTACCTCGACGGAATCATTCAAAAGCCATCCGCCTTAGGATTTGTGTTTTCATGGAGAATATGCTAAATGGAGTACGTTCGTATCCTCATTACCAAGAGGAAAGCATATCCAGCCCATTCAGAAGCTGGGTACCAAAGACGAACGATTAATGTTTTGTTGCTTTATTCACTCAAAACTCTTTATTCAATTCAATCAGAATTATAACTATATAATTATGACATTTTCCACTCATCTCTCACTCATTTCATTCTTTCAGTTTTCCACTTATTCCCTCAAAAATGTTCTTTTGATACCATTTTCTACTTCAGATTAGGAATTCGTGCACGCAAATTGACTTACGGTCACTTTCATAAGCGTCTCAATATCTGAATCCTTTTTCTTGGGATAGCTGCTCTGTTAAATATTTAAAGCAAAACACACAAAGGCAGTCTGCAATATAAGAGAGAAGTAGAGGTATTCAAAGTGTTTTGCATTTATTAAATTGTTGTAAAGCACTTTAATTGTCTGCCTAAACGAAGAGATGGCCTTGTGGAGGATTTCGGAGAGAAACTGGCTCGTATATACGTTACACGTATGTAAATATGTATGCGTATGTAACAGTGAAAATGCCCACGCAGCTAGCCCGTCAGCAGGATTTTAAATCTGGGTCAAAATATTAGTGTTCAGTGGTTCTACCACCTGCTGCTAAGACTATAATTGCAATTTAACTTTAATTACTTTAATTGCAATTTAAACAAAATGTAGTTTCTTTTTAGTCCAAAGGCGCAATTTGACCTGAAGGACTATTAATTCCGTTTTGGCATGTTGCGTTGAAAACTTTAAAAGGCTGTATCACTTTTCAAATCGTTGTCACCATATATTCTTGCCCTTCGTTATTTAAAGAAATTAAATAATGAAGAATTTGCATAAATATATGTATGTGTCTCGCATTGTGATAAAACAACGGTTCCCAGAGCCATCAAAATTTGAATAACCCAATCTCCCATAGAATAGGGGCATGCGGAAGCCCTAATTTGAATTTGAAATTTGTTTTATTATCAATTTCAGATTTTGTAATACTTGAACGAATTTTTTATTAACAAACTAAACGATTTTAAAGCGAGAACAACACTGTACGAAAAAAAAAAAAAAAAAAAAAAAAAAAAAAACATTTTTATCATTTCTAGCGCGCATCGGAAATTCTAAAGATCTGTATCGGAAATTCTAAAGATATGCTCATTTTAAAATTAATTTGCAATATTGCTGTTGAACTGAATTTTATAGTTTGAGTACGTTGAACATGATAAAGGTAACACAAAAAACGTTAAAAAAACGCCCCTTTAGACGTAATTTAAAATCTAAAACCTTTTAGATTTTTTTGGGGGGGGGGCATTTTAAATAAAGCGATTCAAAAGCATCGCAGTGAAACATAAAGCACCTACAAATCATCGCATGACGATAATATCGCTTATATGTGTTTTTTTAGGCCTTTAAAAGTTGTAAATATGTCTCCGCTTAATGATTTGTGAGCACAAGATTAAATTGGGAATATTTTTACCTCCATATTTCATATTTATTTCAATTCACTAATACATTTTTGTAGAAAAATGAGAAGAAAACTTACGCAATCCAAAATATGAAATAAGTTGTAAATTAATGCTATGTATAGCGGTTAACAGAATTTAAAATTTATATACTTAGCTAATAATGGTAATTACGTAATTAATCTACTTCAGAAACGGAAAAAGCAGATGATTTAGTTGCCTTCTGTGACTTCAGAGCTGCCTTAAGTATTAAACAAAATTCAATCAATACTTACCCAAGATATTCCGCACCAATTGAAGGAAATTAACAGTTTTAATAAAATCTGCACTCTGCAGGGGTGCCTGCTCCCATTGGTATTGCTGGAAACGAAATTGCACGCAAGCTTGTCAATGTAATAAGATCTAAACGATGGTAATAAAACAAATTGCTCTTGGCGAAACAAATGCCATCGCAAGGTATCGACTTGGAGGAAATATTATCAAAAAACAGTACCAGATTTGTGAAGTTAATTGTAATCGAGATGTTACAAAATCTGTAACTCGACTCAGAATCCAGCACTTTTGGGGTATGAAGCAAAAAGAGATGGCTCAAAATCCTTCCGTCCCTGCAATAACTGTGATCAAATAGCTTTATTATTTTATAGTTCAATAGTCCTGACCGTATTTTTAACTGCCCTGCAAATGTAAGACCTCTGATTCTTCTCTGAGGATACTTTTTTTATCCTGAGCGGCTGTGTCTTAGGAACATCAACGAATAGCTGGCTACGTTTTCAAACATATGGTAACTTTTGATCAGTTTCGAGTTGTCAGGGACACGACATCACCATCACTATATTTTTCATGAAAAGCTATAAATACAGCAATATAAAACAGGTTAATTAAATGTAGTTAAGTTCCTTTAGTATTTAACCACATACATTTAAAGCTGTATTAAATTTACCATTAATTTTCTACTCATTTTCAGTCTTTGAATGCTTCTTACTTAGAAAATATATTAGTTTATTCAAAAAATTGTATTAGATAACTCAAAAATATGAATACATTCCTCTTCCTTCTCGTGCTCAAAAATCATTACGCGAATATATATTTACAACACTTCCACAAAAACATACATGTCTGTGATGATTTGTTTTAACGAGGATGTTTTAAAACAGCGATAATTTTCAACCGCCCTTTTTTTATACGACGATGTTTTTTATACTATTATGTTTTAGACCTGCGATGTTTTGTCCTCGCTTTTTCTTGTACAATGAGTTGTACAACGAAGTTTTCGACTTGCTTTGATTTCTTCGCGACGTTTTCGGTCACGTTGTTTTAGCCTGTAACCGGCAAAATACGTTAGATCTCTCTGCGTAAGGGAAGGGAGCCTTCGTGGAAGATTTTCTAAGAGAAACTGGTTCCACCCATGTTAGATATGGGGAAAAGTAAACTACATATAGATAATTGCTTTAATTTTATTCTTTAAAGTTCTCAGCACATATTTAACCATTAAGTAACTAATTGCAAGAAATTCGTAACTTTGTTTGAAAGGTAGAGGTATATAAATTAAAGTATTTATACAGTTGAATATGACAAACTATGCAAGGGCTATCTGTCTAAGAGAAGGGATGCCTTCTTTGGAATATACGGATGGGAAATTAGCCCTATTCATATTACACACGAAGAAAACCGCGAAAACGTCGATGCAATTAACTAGTTCACTAGCTTTCAATTGTAGATCTAACTATAAATATCCAGCAATCTTATCCTAAAAATCTGTGAAGTATATTAGATTTTCGAAGTAAGAAATACGAAAATAAAGCGATGCGTTCGCCGGCAGTTGAAATACGGATCTCCTAATTACCAGCCAGATTTGCTTCTAATTACACTACGAAGGTACGCGGTAAGAAAGACAAAATTCTTTATATATTCCTCTGGAACCCAGTAGCCAAGTTCTGGTGGGAACGAATTATTTTCCATCACATATTTATTTCAGGTGCCACTTGTAGATTTTTAAGTTTTCGAAATAGGAAACACAAAGAATGACCGATACCCTCCCCGTGATTCGATTTCCGGGCCTCTCGACTGACAGTCAATTCTAGTTATACCACGAAGGCACGCGTTTAGAAAGGAGCCAATTCTTTACAAATGAAAATGTTTGTGTCAGATTAATCTGGCCATATTTTAAAAGTCATACAAAATTAGCGAAATTTCCTAATATTACTACAAAATTCAGACAACACATGCAGTCATTTCCAGTAATTAATGGTTTGCTCTAAAAAATCTTCATTTGCTTATATTTTAGCACTTAGAAACGTACACAAATAACAGTAAGAAAATTTTTGCTCTTTAAGAATTAAATTTTATTACCTACACATCTCTGATAATGTCGCATTATCGCTTGTATAATGATATCGTCGTTTGTCTTTCTGAAGTTCATCAAATTCTTTCCTGCAGGCTACAGATTCACTTTCGCAGTTAGCAGCAAACACTTTACACTGCCATTCTGGAAAATATAAGAAAAAAAAAAAAAAAAAGCGTTTTTTTAGATGTGATTCTAGTTAACTGAATACAAAAAAGCTTCATTAGCTTTATATTTTAATTATATGAGCCTAAAATAAAATATTAATAATTTTATAATGTTAGGTAGGTTATTTAATATGGCAAACTATTGCGGTAATTCATAGGAAGATAAGAAAATTCGTGTACTTTTTCGCCGTAAATTGCAATCGAAAGGCAGATTCTAGAGTATCGAGCCATTAAGAGGTGTGAAACTACATGCTCTTGACACTTCAGAAGCATTACTATATACCCAGTAATATCTCTACTAGACGTTAACTAAGTGGTAATTTCTTGACCGGTGTCAGAGGATCTTTACGATCCGCAGCATATCTGTAATTAAAGCTGCTCAGTTTAAGGGAGATCCCCGAAACCATAGTTCTACAGTTCTAATATCGTCTTCAAACCAAAACAAATCGAAGGACTTAGTAGATAAACAAAATCTAAAGGCGTGGAGTCTTGATTTAGCGTGGAAATGTGCCAGGCAGAGCAAGTGTAGGAGCATTCTGAAACTATTAATTACAAAGAATGAAAAACCTTACAAGAACTCCTTCATTAGGCAATGAAGGCAATTAATATAATTACCTTTTGATTGGATCACAGTAAACCTCCCGACGGCTATGTGCCTACAGGAGAAATGTCTTTGTAGAGAACTGTTTACGGAAAACTGGCTTGTATTCAGTTTTGAGAAATCCACGAAAATTTCTGTGCAGCAATTTTATTCGCTAGGATTTGAACTCGGGTCGAAATACTATAGCACTTCCACTACAGTATTCAGGGGTTTTATTACTTAGCCGCCGATAAACCCTTCAGTACATTTCAAAGCTCACTAGCTAATTCAATAATGCTTCTGTATTTATATCAGTTGATTAAGTAAATGATTCATTAAATACACAATTTATACCTAATTTTTATACACAAGATTCATTGTTAATATCCTCGTTTTACACCTAATTATACAATACTCGTTGCTTTTACTCTACAATATTCGTTGTTGATACACCGTAATCGTTTATGCTCTACAATACTCGTTGTTTGAATTAAAAAAAAAAAAAAAAATCGGCCGTTGCTCTGTCTACTCTGCCCTCTTTTTTCGTCGGCCACCGAAATCCCGAGGAATTTTATTCTTTGTCGCATCACGTCATCATGACTAAGTAAGACAAGGAATCCTAATTTTTGATCATTTCTCATGGGAAAAGAATTTTTCTGTACAAAGAAAGGGAATCCACTCTCCCTTCTAGAAAGAGTAGGTTAACTTTCATGGTAAGAAAGACGTATTCATTAGATGGAAGATATTTGTGGTAGCACTTTTGAATTTCTAAAAGATAACTAAAAATCCTTTCCTCAATCTTCTAGAATATTCTGTGTCCTTTTATGCTTTGGTATTTTCCGTAAAAATCATACTTTAAATTTGCAATTTGATTATTTAAAGGACAAGCGATTAACATTATTAATTGAATTGCACATTTATACAGGGAGTCTAAGAGAAGTAGCGACAAACTTCTATAGGATTTAGAGAACATAATGAGGATTGAGAATTGCATAGCAACCCATGACCGGGAACGTCATCGTACGCCATTATGTCGTGTTCTGTATGACAGCGCTGGAGGGGAACGTGAGAATTTCCTCATTTAAGAGTTAGCCAATATACGAAGAGAATGTAAAGGTATACGAATCATAAGCATGAATTAGCATGACCAGAGAGGGCAGGCCCAGGCCACGATCGACGCGTTCGATCGTTATGGAAGAAAGTGTGTTGGATGCCGTGAAGACTAATCTCAGTACCAGAACACGCTGCGTTGCCTCTGCCTTAAGAATGTCTCGTTGCAGTGTAGAGCGTGTTTTGAACGCCGAGTTCTTACATGCCTTTCATCTACAAAGGGTTTCGTTACTGCTCCCCAATGATTATTCCGCACGTACGCGTTTCGCATTAGTGGTATCTACAACAAAGGGTATCAAATCTGAATTTCTCAGCTTATGTGTTGTGTACTAATAATGCCACATTGAGTAGGGATGATGCATTCAATCAACACATTTCGCATTTGTGGGCTCAAGAGAGACCACACTGTTTGCGGCACTCCGCGGCACAACAACATCGCTTCCCAGTAAATGTGTGGGCAGGCTTGGTCGGCGGCTGTTTAGTCCGGCTGTACATTTTACCATCACGCATGTCCTCCGCGAATTATCGAATCTTTCTGGAGCAGGTTCTTTCCGACTTACTTCATAATGTTCGAGCAAATGTGAGGCGCAACATATGCTTTTAACATAATGGGGCGCCTGCTCATTTTGGAGTGGCGGTTCATTTGATACATCGATGGTTGGGTCGTGGTGAACCGGTTCTCTGGCCCCCATGCTCACCTGATTCATCGAGCCTTCGTTTCATGTATCAGGTCCTGCGGGGTCTGAAATTGATCTTTTGGTAAGACTCGTCTGCGCTGCTGTTACAATCAAAGAAACCCGCGCTGTGTTCGGCCGAGACCGGCAATCAATGTTCCGTCGGTGTCAGACATGCTTGATGTCTGATGGTGCAAACTTCGAGCATCTCTTGCAATATTACAGCTGTATTCATGTCATACACTATATGTACTCGTGATGTCCAATAAATATTTCAAATTAATCGCTCTCTTGTGTCCTTCTGAATCTTCTACCTTTGCTACCACTTACCCCTGACGTTTCTGATAATTAGCAGCTGTTTAGTTCTCAGTTTGTATGATGTGCCCTACCGCCCCTAAAAGTTTGTCGCCACATCTTAAGACACCCTATATAAATAGTTATATACAAGTTCTTTCAGTTAAAAATTTAAATAGTAAATTACCTTTACATTTCAACGTTACTAAAGCATACTAAAATTTGTGATCTAGAACGCAACTAATTCAAGATGTAACAAAAAATCATCTGATTCTCCAGCTTTCAGAAGCCGTGTGCTTTAAGAGAGATAAATGCCTTCTTGGAGCTTTTTCTAAGAAACCTGATAGGGTTCGGGACATGCACAAGACAGAAAATCCGATTTTCCGCATAGCCGGATCATTTAATTACCAGAAACTGAATTCAAAACGAATGTCTTGTGATGAACCATCACTTCCTGTAACCACAGCCATTCAGCTAATTATAGATTTCGATCTGATTATTTAAATATTTTATACTTTTTTATCTTTATTCACGTGCATATACCAAATGATTTTATGGAAATATTTGAAAACGATAAAATTCATGAAAATATCGTTATCAGAATATTCGTTGAATCAGTTTTATTTAAGAAAGGAACAACAGATTACTAAACATTTTCCAAACCTTGTCTAAATTAACATACAAGAACATTATATTTGTTTTTAGATGGTCTGTATATCTCGAAATTTTCTGGCACAGTAATGTGATTTTTAAATTGTACAATTTGATCATATTTAAACAAAATTTAGATGCTATTTTTTTTTCATGTTAGATAAGAGTGAGAATTTTAGGATCCATCGCCTGTGCAAGCGCATATCATGAATTCATCGTGTTCCCATTTAGTCTTGGGCTGTTAAAATGCTTGCAGAATTTATCTTAAATCGTTTTAAAGCTGAAATAAAAGTCGTTTTTTTCAAAAACAGACTAACGGCTTATTCGTTCAGGAAATCAAGCATAAATATAAAAAAAGCACGGGGATATGGTACTCTCCTTTCATTACTTATTATAGTTTATAGATAAGACTTTTTAATTGCGATCTTTTTAGATTGCAGTTTTTTATCATTAGAATGCGAACAATATAAGCATGTGTTCACCTAATAGATATATAAATAGCATTTCAAAGGTATAGTATTTTAAAGTTTGATAAGAAACAAGATATCTGTGTGTCTTATGCGTAAGTTGTATTTCACCTACTGAAGAATAATCGAGCTATATGTTTGATAGCCCTAAAACATTTAGAATTTTTTTCAGACATTGTAGTTTTTGAGAAATTTTTTATGAAGTTTCAGTTTCTTTTTTAAGAATATAAGCAATATTCCAATTGTTTATTTTTTTCTTCAGTTTTTAGTTGTTTTAAAATGCTAGAAATTCTGTCTTTGTTCGTTTAAAATATTGTATGTCTTTCCACGTGTGTTTATTTCTAAAAGTTGAAAATGTGTAAGAATGAAATTTAGCTATTAAAATCTTATTAGAGGGATGATTATAGCAACAATAAAAGGAAGGGTAGCTTTAAGTACGAATCATACAAAATCTCAAAGTAAAAGAATCATAATTTTCATTGGCTATTGAACTCGCAATTAATGTAAGATTTGTTACAGCTGCATTGATCAAACAAAAAATTAATAAGAAAAAGAGAGAAAGTATTCAATACTAGGAAATAAAAATAAAAATAAAAATAAAAATTTTCTTAATTTACTTTCTTTCCAAAAAATGCGAAGTATCTGAAATAATTTGCTTCAGTAAAGATGATTATAAAATGAAAGAGTTGCAGTTTTAATTCCAAAAGGAAAAAATATTCAATAAATATAGAGCTACTAATTATCTATTACATTTAAATTAATCATAGCAAAACACGCGAGAGAGCTAACTGTCCTAAAGCTAGGATGCTTTTGAAGAGTACGCTTCAATGTAATTTAGCTCGTATTCTCGATACGGGGGAGGACCACGAAAATTCTGGCACAGATAGTCCTTTCACTGGGATATGAACCAGGATCGGATAACCTATGCTTAGTGTTTTACTTCTCGGCATTTAGTTGGACCAAGTAGACTTAAAACAGTTAAATTGATTAAATATAAAATAAAATAAAAATAAATAAAACAAAATCTGAAAGGCTTCAAATTTTAAATTACGTCCAAAGACGCGTTTTTTTAACATTTTGTCTGTTACCTTTACTTATTAAATATCACGTTCTTCGCACTTCAATCATAAAATTCAGTTCAAGAGAAATATCGCAAAATAGTTTTAAATTGAGCATATCCTTTAGAATTTCCGATACAGAG